TTATAGCTTCAATGATAGGAATAACTATTCAAATAATAAATAGCATTTACCACAAAAAAGAGGTGATTACAAGGACAAGGTTCATAAACTAGAACAAGAAGTTCAAAACTAAAACGATAACTGGCTCCAAAACAAAAACTTACAACTTAGAGATGATTTCATGATCGCACAACCAAATAAGAGCCTTTTTTTTTTAGTATTAAAAAAGGGTTATTTTCAAATATTCATACTAATACATTCTTTATGATTCATACATTCACCTGAAAAAAATTGTCTATTTCCTCTATGTTAAACAAGTTAAAATTTTTTATTCTTTTAAATAAAACAACTTCGTATTTTAAAATTTTTATTTCAGTTTTCGGATTATCGTCTTTCAAAATTCATTAGAAAAGTCAATTCTGTTCTCATGTATAACAATCCCAAGAGTGATGCATTTATTGTTGAAGACAATGATATAACTATAGATTACACTTGCATTTATTTTTTTACTTAATAACTTTTTTTGTCGTGTCTCGGAACATTTCATTATATTATCATTTGAAAGACAATTATTTAGTACAATCGATACTGTTTAAATGCATACATACTATTTTCATTTCCTAACATGGTTATTAATTATAAATGCATAATAATTTCTCTATTTGTATAATGCATAAAAAATTTTTTTATTAATAAACTACTGTAATTGCATAACAAATATATCGATATTACTTTAAATATAAATAATACGTACGTATTTAATCCACTAACCCGTTTTGGATAAATTAATTGTCAAAAATTGTCAGCTCAATTAGGCGATTCTAACGTCAAAATTCAATCATAGGATCATGAGATTATTAAAGATTTGTGGTGCTTTATATATGAATGCTGCAGAGCGAAAAACTGTAACTGATCATAATGATTTACTATGGTCAGTTACAGATTTTTGCTCTGCAACACTCATATGTAAATAAATACACGTTTATTATTATTATACTGTATAAAAAAATAACACAAATCTTTTAATAATTTCGTGATTCTGTAATTAAATTTTTGATGGTTTTGGGTTTGTTAGAATCATCTCATTGGGCTGATTATTTTGGTATATAGTTAAATTATCCAAAATTTGATCAATGGTCAAAAGATATTTACAGTTAAAGAAAATTGGTAATAAATTTTAACAATTTTAATTGGTTGGCTAATGTGTTACGTAACTTGATCCTAATCTAATAATTCAGTAATTGATCAGCTTACAAGTTTTTATGTAATAAAAGTGAGGAAGTGGGTATATATTAAGCAAAGTATAAAAAAAAAAAAAATTAACTTCCTTTGTAGATAAAATTGGTTTTTTTTCTCGCGTTATACTGTATTTATCGATTATGTAATTGCACGGGTAAATCTACAAAATTAACCAATCAAATGAACTTCTCATAATAATAATATGAGCCGATTTGAGTAATTTATAAGTAAAGTTCATTTTTTTAATAACTTTAAAGTTAAATAACTTTTGATCTACTGGTTGTTTTAAATAATTTTACTACCAAAATGTTCATCTCTTTGAGATAATTCCAACGAGCTCAAAATCATTAAAATCCAATCACAGGATCACAAGAAAATGCACTATCAAATAAGATGACACACCTGTAAAGTGTACCATTTGGTTAGACATAGATCTAACCAATTGATCTACCTTGCAGGTGCGTCACTTTATCTGACAGTGCATTTTCTCACGATCTTGTGATTAGATTTTAATGATTTTGAGCTCGTTGGAATCGTCTCAAAGAGACGAACATTTTGGTAGTAAAATCATTTAAAATGGACCAATAAATCAAAAGCTATTTAGCTTTAAAGTTATTAAAAAAAATAAGCTCTACTTATAAATTACTTAAATCGGCCCATATGACAAACATTACATCTAAAAACCTGATGTATAAAGCTCTAGCTTTACAAAACGCAGTCGTTTTATTACTAACGAAATGGCAGGGTTTACAAGCTGGAGCCTTAAATATCACCTTAAGTTTAGAAATGTGTTTAACTTTAGGAATACAACTCTAATAAGATCGATGACCATATAGAACAATCTATAAATCTTTATGTTCATTTTATAGAAAGTCTAATGGTAATTTACATCAATGGAATAAAGGCTTTCAGTTCGCTTCCTCAGCTCCAGCCGATTAATAATATAGATTAAATTTCCTTTTTGCATTATAATAAAAAAAATGCACCTTGCAAAATTTAGTGTATTAATTCAGACTTAATTTCTATCCATATCTTGTTTTCAACAGTTGTTATGAATATTTGCTTGTATCATGACTAATTAGACAACATCAATTTGTTTACAACTATTAGCAATAGAGCACAATTGTTTATTATTGGCTAGCTGTTTAAAAAAACAATAAATTAAGGATGTTTTTAATTGCAACAATTATAACATTATACGAATAAACCTAATATGTTTTAAAGATCTCAGAGATATTTGGAACATCAATTTCTTAGAGGTATTAGATTTAAATTTGAGATTTGAATTTTATTTAATTTTTGAATTAAATATTGAATTTTATTTAATTTTTGAATTAAATATTTGAACTTTATTTAATTTTTTGAATTGAATATTTGAATTTTATTTAATTTTTAAATTAAATATTTGAATTTTATTTAATTTTTTGAATTGAATATTTGAATTGAAAAATTTTAATTCGAATTTAACAATAAACAGTATGGAAATATCTTATATAGACCTTCCTTCTTTATTTGATTTTGAACATTATCATTCAAAGTGAAACATCATTTAAAGCAATGGCTATCATTAAATTTTACTACCTAAAGGTCCTGAATCTTGGATTAACAATCGTTATACATCGATTAATGCATCGTTTCAAAACAGAAAATCTGGTCCAAATAGATGCAGTGTATCTACATCTCCAAACACATGATCTGAACCTTCTGTATATCATTCTTGAAGTTCCTGAAGATTCAGTATCATCGATTTCAGAATCTTCCACACTCGGATCCTCTTCAACATCAGATTCTTGGTAAGGTGGTTGGTAAGCTTGCTGGTAAGGAGAGTCTTCAAGTGTTGGATTAAGTTCGTATCTTTCGGGTGCAAGATCTTGGAGGTAAAGTTCATCAGCTGATGTATCCGCCGAAGTAGTAGTGAGAACGGCGATTATGACGATTAGAATACACAACAAAATTATGCGTTTCATTTTTTGATAAAATTGATTCAATTTATGATATTATCGTGGCTGTTCACTTGACTGTTTTGTGTTGTTTCGTGGTTTATTCGGTCGTTTATATAATTTTTTTTCAAAAGTTTCTTTGCTATTTACTTGATCCTCACTTTACGAATAATGATCGAGAAGTTTTTACTTTTACGTATCATGATCGAGTTAAATGGATTTTTTTATCATACTATTTTATGATTATCTTTTTTTTTTTTTTTTTAAAAAAAAAAACAAAAAAAAAAAAAGACTTAACGTAAGGCTGTTCAAGTTTAATGTTTTCAAACTGAGAATAAAAAATACAGTATCTTACAGTTTTTTATTTCGGTATAAAAATTTTTTATTTCTCAGTATGATTATATTTTATAATGACATCAGTAAAAGTTTTTTTTATCATGATATTGCATATCATTTATTTTTAAACAAGAACTATATCCTTTGCCAAACGATTTTTATATCCCTGAAATTTACCTTTTTTTTTTTTTGTTTTTTTTTTAGTTTTCATGGATCCATTACCAAAAATTCGATTACTATTAAACGACAAAACAACTAGTGACTTAATAATTCGCGTTGATGGAAAAATTTATTATGCACATAAAATTATTCTTTTATTAAAATCTGAATGTTTTTGTAAAATTTTTTCTGAATATAAAGGTAAATATTTTGATTTTAGTTGTTCTAAAAAATCTGTTCTTAGTGTGTGGTATGAATACAAAGATGCCGTAACTCATGAAACGAGAGAGAATAGTGAAACCAGCAAAAATTGTTCAGTGACACGAGATCAAAGGAAAATTGAGATTTATTATGATTATGAAACTTTTGGTCAATTTTTAGCGTATTGGTTAGTTTCTTTTTTTTTTTTTTTTTTATCTAAAAAGACTTTTTCTATTTGAATGATGTTTATGATTTTTATCTCTTAGTTACGGATGGTCAATTCAGCAAAGAACGACCGATGAATTGTT